CTGAATTGCTGATTTTGTGTTCTGACCCATTAAAATTTACCTTTAAGATTTAAGATTTTTTATGAATAATTTTTTAGTTTTCCATTATAAACAAAATTTAGCCATTGTGGATAAAACGTTTTTGTTACTGAAGTTCTTATTTTTTCAGAAAAATTAAAAATCTAAAATCACCATATTTTATGAACTACATGAGGTTTTTTGTTGAAATTTTCAAAATTTGGTTTCTCATTGATATAACCAAGTTTCATCAAATTCTATGTTGTCTATGTTGAACCCACATTATCACAAAAAATTAGGCATCACAAAAAGTTGGGCTGTTGACTTTGCCACAACTATTACGCCTTTTATATATAAGTTCCTCACTACTGTATTTTATATCTTATGCACAACTGTGATTTTACTTAGTTTGTTACTATATCATTTAATAAAGTTAATATTTTTTTACTTTTAATTTATTACCTCTCCCTATAATATTATTTATATCACTGGATCTGTTTCTGAAACTTTTTTTATTGAGTTTCATAAGTAAAAATTTATAATATCCTCTATATCAATTTTGATAAAAGTTTTATGGATTGCATTGCTATTTTAAGTTTTGAATATAAAGTTCAGGAGTTTGCTGTACTTTTTAAAAAAATTACTACAGAAAAAGAACAATATAGCCATGCATTTTGCACTTTTAGATATTGCTTAAAAATCTCATAATGCATTTTAAGATGTTGCTTAAAAATCTAACTTTCTCTCTACATCAGTTGATCGCAAAAAACCTTACAGATATTTTAAAAAAGTATTTTAGTTTTGTTTCTTATTGTTTTAAATTTGTTTAATATATTGATTTATTAATCAACTATAGTTACATAAGTTCTACATAAGTTGTAAAATTATATTATATATTGATAAAAATTGAATCCATTTGTTATAAATACTGTTGATTATTAAATGGTTATCAATAAAGTGTTTGTAAGATTTAAACATTCAGTTAAATTATCCAAAATTATTCTAAGTGTTATTTTGTGAACATGACATTTTTGTATAAAAAATCCTTCTATAAAATGCTCAAATCTTATTATAAAATATGATTAAGTTAAAAATACTATGAAGAAATTTTATGAAGAATAATGAAAAGATTGCTGCCTCATGCCAAACCTTCGGGTGATATAACGGCGCTACTTTGTGGCAGCTAGCTGTATAATATCGAAGTATGTAATGAAGCCCCCAACAGCAGGTAATTCAGTGTGACATCAGATGATATTTAAACAAAGAAACACATCTTAAATACATATCATCATCAATTAAACAAGTTTATCCGCAAGTTTTGTAATGAAAGGATCAAAGTATTCCTAGCTATAATGTTAGGTATTTTGGTAAAACCACCAGACACAGTAAGGATTTTTGATTATCTTAACTCTAATAAAACATCACATTTCACATCTTTCTTTATTTCCTAAATGTTAAAGTTCTATAAGTACTAACTCATTTTTGATTCCGAATAGAGCAACCTCTAAATACAAGCTAAAAATCAGACAAAGTATTAATATTGAGCTCAAAAAACCCTCACATTAACAGTTAAAAATAATATTATATTATAAAAATAATATTGTTATTACATTATAATTGCTGTTCACTTGAGTATAAGTTTTCATTTTTCTATCTTTTTTCTCTGTCTTTGTACCCTTTGTACCTCTTTTTTTTTTTACTCTTAATTTATATAGTTCATAACTCTTTATATCATAGATGAGTTTTTTCCAGGAATTCCAGAAATTCACTTAAAACTCCTTTAAATTTCCGAAAATTTCAGGATTTTTTTATTTTTATTAATTTGATTAAAAAAAATTATATATTTTTACATAAAATTTTAACAACAACAACTTTTGCATTTAAACAAATATGTTTTCTATAGTTAAAATTTTCACAAGATCAATTGTAAGAATTTTTTTGCTTTTTTTTTCTTTTTACTTTATTCCAATTTTTTATTATCATTTTAATATAATTTAATATCTTTTCTCAACATTTGTATAGATGAATTAAAATATGTTTTTTTTTTAAACATCTTTGCTTCTAACAAGGCTGCAAGCAACCACTAATTAGAGTTGGAAGTTACTATAAGAGAAAAGATGAAAATTGTAGAGCAAGATAGCAATTGACAGACAACATAAAAGATTGCAAATTATATGAATCAGGAAAGCAAGATGAAGGAAGAGTATTTTAAAAAAATGATGTTCAAGGGAAAAATACTAGACAAATAAGAGTTTTTGAAGCACTTAGGAACATTCACAGAAAAAAGGATGAGACTTAATTGAATGGCAAGTAACACGAGAATGAATTTTAGTAGATGGTACAAGAGATGCTAGCTCTTTAGAGCAGTGCTCATTATAGTATTTGTAGAAAAGAGAAAGTGAAGCAATATTATGACGATGTGATAGTGGTTGAAGGTTGGCTGCAAGAGCAGGTCCAACTATGTTTACAATGTGTTTTTGCAACTTGTCTAAAAGAGAAAGGGCATCATTAGAAGATCCGCCCCAGATATGGTAATAGTATTCCATACAAGGCCGGATTTGAGATTTATAGAGATAGAGAATAGAATCTGGAGTAAGAAAGTGTCGAGCTTGATAAAGAGATTCAACCTTAGCAGATGCTAAGTTTGCATCTGAAGATGAAGGGTAGATGACTCATTAAGTACATTATCGTTCATAAATATAGGAAGGTCTAAATTGTTGCGATAACGGTTGGCTGAAAAAAATTGAGTTTTATCTGAATTATAGTTTACCAGCCACTGTGAGCCCCATGCTGTAGCAGAGGTGAGACCCTTTTCAAGCTCAAATGCCCCCTGCAAGCAATCAGAGGGAGTTGGCTTCTTATTGTGACAAGAAAAAATGGTAGTATCATCAGCGAACAATGCCACCTTAGATGTGAGAATATCTGCAAGATCCTTAATGTAAATTAAAAAGAGTATAGGGCCAAGGATATAACCTTGAGGAACCCCTGAGGTTACAAAATAAGAAGAGTGCTTTTCATCAAGGACAACTTTTATACTACGATTGGAAAAGAAGGATTCAATAATCTTAAAGATGTTTCCAGATACACCCGTAGAAGAAAGCTTATGGAGAAGACCAGCATGCCAAACTTTTTCAAACACTTTAGAAATGTCAAGAGCGATGGTGTTAATCTCTTCACCATTATCTAATGCACTATAAAACCTATCAGTTATTACTGTTAGCAAATCAGCCATAGAACGAGAAGATCAAAATCCATATTGATGTTCAGAAATTTTTTTAGAAAAAATTAAATCTATAATCTCAACAATTGGGAAAAGTAAAGATTAATGAAAAAACGATTGCTGCCCCAACCCAAACCCTTAGTCTCTGTAGTGGGGCTCCTTGCATGTACTCCCTATTTAGTCAGTTGATGATGCACTGAACCCCCCCCCCCCATCTTTCTTTTCATTATTTCTTTTTTCTTTTTCTGAAAACACTGTATGGCAAAAAAAGAAAAGAAAACAAATGCTGATCTAAATCTACATTTATAAATACATGAATACAGAATTTTAGCTTTTTTTAAAAGTTATTTTTTAAAGAGTTATTTTTTAACTCTTTAAAAAATAACTTTTTTTTCATTTTATGACTTTTTTTAAAAAAATAAATCACTGATAAAGTTCTCTTGTTTCTTGTTTTACATATGTTTTACGTATGTTGCTTGTTACATACGTTTTACATGTTTCAGAGTTAAATGATTAGGAAAATTGCAAAAAATACAAAAATAAATATACAAAACACTCTTATATAATTTCATATCTTCAAACAACCTTGATAAACAACAATTCTTTGATCTTATATTTTCTACTTAGAAAAATGAATTACACAAAAAACAGAATGCAGCATTAATTGATGTTATAACCACTCGTATGCTAAAAGTTGTTTTTTTAATAATAATTGAAATAAAAATGCCTAAAAATCTGTTCAAATGCCACATGTCATTTTTAACCCATAACAGTATTATATTGTAATATATTTATTTTGTCAAAAAATTTGAACAAATTTTTTAAAATCGTAATTTTTTGTATATTTTTTACTTTTTTTTTTTTAATAAATATAAAGTTTCTAATATTATTTGTTTTAATGATTTCATATGCAAACTTTTTAAATTTTTAACTTTAATTTTTTTTTTATTCTTTGAACAAAAATGTTTTAAGCAAAAAGTTTTTAAGTATATAATCTCTATATATACTTTATCTATATTTTTGGGTAGCAGTACTTGTTTTAAAATTGCAAAAAGGAATAATTTTGATAAAGTGTATTCAAGAATAAGTTCTAAACTATGAAATAAATTCAAAAGTATCATAATCTGAATAGTTTCAAAACCTAGTGAGATTTAATTATTTAGAAATGCAATAAAAGGAATAGTTTTAAAAGTACAAAAAGAAGAATGATTTTGAAAAGACTGATTTTTTTAAACTCCAACTGTGCGAGTACTATTCAAAATAAAGAATAATATGTTCTTAATTTAAGCAGAGCAGTAGGCTTTTAATAGTTATTTAAAATTTTTCTTTTTGATTGACCGCCCAACACAAACCCTTTGTACTTACATGTACATTCCACTATGTCTGTCCCTATTTTAATCAGTTGATGTATGATCACTCCTCTGTGCCTGTCCCTATTTTAGTCAGTCAATGTATAAACATTCCACTGTGCCTGTTCCTAATTTAGCCTATGATTGTATGAACACTTCACTGTAAGCCTTTTAACTACAATGTTTACATCCTTCTTACCTGGCTTTTTAAAATTATCACATTTTCAGCATTTTTTTAAACAGCTTTTCGAAAGAATCTTAAAACTCCATTTCAAAACAAATATTTTTCAAAATTATTCTATTCATACAGTTTCAAAACAATTGCTGAAATATCATTTTAATAGGTTTCTTTTCGAAACTATTTTTTTTTTTTCAATATTGGTTTTTTCAAAATAGGAATGCTTACCAATATTTTTTTCTTCTTTGTTTTCTAGAATCAATATTTTGAATCAGCAAAACAATGGAATGGTCCGAAAACATTAACTTTAAAGCGTGGAAAAAATGGTTTTGGTTTTTCATTACGATATTTTGAGGTGGAAACCCCAGTATTTGACAGCCCTTCTTCAAAAGTAAGTCATTTTTAGAGTTAACATGGTATAGGTTATACATTTTGAAGATTATTTGAAAATAATCTTTAGCAGTGAAAATATTGCTTATATCTTACTTAAGTTGTCTGCTATGATAATCAGTATTTTAATTGTTATTAGCAGCTTTTCTAAATCGCAGTAGGAAAAAAACTGAAAAAGTTAATTAATATACCATACATGTTGAATGTCACCAATTAGAAACTGCTTAATTCAAAATAAATTACTCAAATTAAAAAAAAAATGAAATAAAATATAATTATTCCCGCTAGAACTTCAATCAAACTAGTTGAAATGTTTTTAATTTAATTTAAAATACAATGACCTCTTTTTTTAGAAAAAATTTCCAGATTCATCATTAATAATGTTTAACCTTTCGATTGACAAATTTTAAATAAAAATTAATTTTAACTATGATAAAGGTTGAGCATTATTAACAATTAACGTGATTCAAAATGCAACAAACATTATGAAAATTGATGCACTCATATCTTGAATTAAATGAAAGTTTTTCAAAAAGTGTTTCAAAATGCAACTATAATGGTTTAAAAAACATTTTAAATTGTGATCATGTCTAATTTAATTTATATTGGCTTCTTTTTATTAGGTTCCGTAAAGCTATATATTACAGCGTAGTGTATAGCAACTTTAAATGCTTTTTAAAGGTTTTAAAATAACTACAAAGAATAAAATTTTATAGTTCAAAATATAGTTTTATTATTAGTCACTTTTTTGTAAGTAATAACTGGTTTGTTTGGTCACCCTGTGAGCCTACTGACTTGGTATTTTTTATACTGTACACATTTATTACTAAAAAATGTTTTAATTAGATCATCAGCATACATAAATATAAAAAATTAAAGAACTCACATTGTAAAACATGTTTTAGTACTTTTGTTTCATTCTATTCTTTGTGGAATTGAGGAACAAGAGACAATATCACTTTCATTATGCTTTTCTAATATGCTAGTGAGGTTAGGTTTTAGGTTTTTTTTAGGTTTTACCTAAAAAAACCTAAAACCTAACCTCACTAGCATATGAGAATTAGGTTTCTTCTTTTGGTTTTACCCTAAAGTTTTTTATAGGGTTGAAATTATGTCAGCCATTTCACGAGGTAAGAATATTAATTAGATTTTCCCAAGTAGCTTGCAACACACAGTGATTTTGTGTGCTGCAAGCTGCTTAACCTGTGCTTTGTCTGAGAAAATGACATGTTGCCACATTTTAACAATCCAATTCTTGTATTCTTTAAAATTTTGGGTAAAAATTAGATAAATTAGATAATCTAGAAGTTATCCTTTTAAGCGCTGTCATCTAGGGTATTTCTGCATCCTATAGTTAGTTGTTTTTAACTAATGAATCAAAGGGTTTTATCTTGGTGATAGAATTATCTAAATTGGTTTTAAAATTTAAAAAAGCTTTTGGAAATTTGCAGTTTCACCCTTCTTTCCCTTTTAGAAAAGTTCACCTACAAATTAAACATCAGTAAAGATCAAATTTTTTTAAGAGCTTTTTTTTCACGTACACAATTTTAGGTTTTTTAGCAAAATTTCTTTTAAAAAGGTAATACCCTTTTAATTAAAACAAATATATACTATTTTCATATTATAGATTATTATTTTTTACTTTAAAAAAATAAAAGATATTTTAACAAAAGATCTTTAGTCTAGAGGGAAATTTTCTGATGGCTATTACCTCTCACTATCCCTTTCCCTTGTTATAGCCTATATTATAGGTTTAATCTATTTTTATAAAAATGTTCAAAAGTTTAAGTTAGTATTAGTTTCAATTTTAAAAATTACTTTACAACACTTTATCAAACCCAACAATAGTGATTCAATAAATATTACGGTTAACAGTTACCATTACTAAAAGGTCTCTGGAGATCACAGTGTAATAAAGATTTTTCAAGTTTAACAAATATCACTGATTTATTTTTCAATAATTTATTTTCTCTAACTCATATTTAAGAGTTTATGATATTTTATAAATATATCTACTATTTGCATTGTTAAAAAAGCAACAAATTTATAGTAATTTTTAGACTACCTAGAATATTTAATTTAGTTTATATTATAAATTATTTACTACAATTTACACAGGTCAACAAAAAAACTTTTTTTTTTGCATGCCTCTGAGTTTTTTGCAATAATTAATTTGTAAAATCAATTCATATGCATTATTTTTAAATATTTTTTTTAGATAAAATATATAATACGAGGACTTCTTTAAACCTACACAAATATAACAAAATGAGCACATGGCTTTTGTTGTGTTATTTCTTTGAACTACCCAGATATAACAGAATGAGCACATGGATTCTGTTATTTTTGTGGTTACTTTTGTATAACTAGAAAAAAAGAATTTAACTTGTTGATCTTGAGAAAAAGTGGGTTTCACCTATTGTGATTATTTATGAAGAGAATTATTTTTATGAAGAGAATGATATTTGTGAAGAGAACCTTTGAGATAGATAAAAAGAAAAAAGGGGTTACTTTTTAGAGTTCTCATGCTTTAGAAATAACTGATAAACTGCATTTCTAACTTTTTTTTTTTTGTCTTGTTCATACTATTAATATTGGCAAAATAAAGAAGCAAAAATTAGCTTATTCCAACATTCTTACTGCTTGAATAATTCAACATTCTAAAAAGATTCCAGTTCGAATTTATGTAGGTTTTTTTTCTCAGAAGTGAAGTTTTTTTGTCAAAATTAATACAAAAACTGAAGAAAGAAATTAATACAAAAACTGAAGAAAAACTTCTCCCCTAACGCTAAACATTTAAAGTTCTTTTTGTGTTTTAGTCAAATAGAACTTAAAGACTTCATGTGTTATTTTGGCCTATCTAAGCAATCAATGAAACTATTAGTCTCTCAATTAAAGTAAAAGAACAGCTGAGCAAAAGTTTCTTGCTTCAGAACAAGAGACAAACCCTTTTGGTCTCTTGTTCTGAAGCAAGAAACTTTTGTTGGCTTATCACATTGTGGTATTTTTGTATATAATCCAGTGGAATAGAAGCTGTTTGACAATAGTTAAAAGTGAAGTCTTAAGTATCTTTTTTTGCATAATATCAATGTTTTTAGCTTTGTCACAATAATGTTAGATACTTACCATTATTTAAAATGTTGTTTAACTTTATTAAATATCATGCATACAACTAGATGATGTAATTTATGCTTACTTTCATTACATAGTTATTTATAACTATGTAATGAAAGTAAAATCTAATTGTTTGTATTAATTAATTGTTTGTACCAAAAAATAAACACATGATGGTAGACTACTTTTTCAATTGAGATGACTTTTCAATTGAGATGAAAAAGTTTACAAATGAAAGAACTACAAGCAAAAGTTTCAAGTTTTATTGAGTATTTTTGAGTAAACTATAATTTCTTTATCAGGCTTGGTTGGGAAGCGGGTGTGATCGCACTCGATAATTGACCACAGAAATATTATTTAGTTGCGAAAAACCGGCCAGATTTTTTATTTAATTTGAGAACATTTCAAAAACAAACAAAAAAGCGCAGTAAGATTAACTGGACCGATGAGAGACAGTTAAAAAAAGAAAAATAGCTTTAAACGCGAAAAAACTTTAAGCAAAATAAATGTATTAGAGCAATTATTTTTGAAACGTCGCTCTTTTATAATTTTTTTAATAAAATTAAGCGACATTTTTTATATAAAGTAACAGCTATGAAAAAACAAATGTTCTTTGATTTATCAAAGAGTATATGTAATTTTTATTTATATACTTATTTCCAGTTTTTATTTATATACTTATGTCTTATTTCTTATTTATATACTTATGTCTTATTTCTTAGTAAGATGAACAAATAAAATAAATCATTGAGTTACTGTAGAAATTCAATTAGCTAGATAGAAATTTAAAAAATCATTAAATTACATTGTGAGGAGGAAGCGGAACTCTTCACAATACTGCTGATGGTGTTTTAGTAAGTGGGCTTTATAATTTTAATTAGTATTTAAAACAGAAAAAAGTAACTCTATGTATAACGAGTTTGTAAGAATGGCTGAAGCAAAAATAATAGAAGTTAGTAAACCAATTTCTAAGAACTTAAAAACTTTTCTTTCTTAGGAGAAATAATCAGTTATCGGGTACACTAAGGAAAATGAATTAATGGTTAAAATTATTTGTATTAACTTAGACGATTATTAAATTTCATTAAAAACGCAGTTATTATTGAAAGTATTTTTGTTTACAAAATCAATCGCACATATTGCTTTAAAAGATTACATTTGAATAAAATACACATACATAAAATTACATACATAAAAAATACATACATAAAAATACTTTACATACATAAAAATACATTGCATACATAAAAAATACATCCCTTGTATATAAAAAATTAGAATATACTAATAATATCTATAATATATTTAATAATAATAAATAATAATAATAATAATAAAATCTATAATATATTTACAAACATATGACAAGTTAAAAAATATAAATTAAAAACATTTATTATTGTAAACAAATATTGTTAGTTTAAAACATTTATAACTTTGTAGATGTGGTTCTAAGAATTAAAATAATAGTTCGTTTGATAGTATATTCCTAAAAAAATGCTAGAAATCTCAACAAAAACGTAACGAAACTCAAATAATTTTTAAAAATATTTCAACAAAATAATCAGGACATTCGGCTAGTATTTTTTTGAATACTCTAGAAATTTCGGTTAGTATTTTTTGAACTAATAGAATTAGTTGTTTGTAGATTTGGCAGGTTTTTTGTGTTAGCGAATATTCTTTTTTTATTTTTCCGTACTAAGATGTTTGAGAACATTCAAGTTTATGTATGTTTTTATGTAAGTCCATAAAACAAAATGTTTTAAAATTTACGATAAAATGAACTTATTATTTTGCGGACAAACAAGGAAACATACAAAAACTTAAATGTTCTCAAAATGACTCAAAAATCTGGCTGGTTTTTCGCAACTAAATGTTATTTCCGTGGTCAGTTATCAAGTGCGATCGCACCCGCTTCCCAACCAAGCCTGCTTTATCAAACCTAAAATTTAATTTTTTTTTTTTTTTTGATATATCTATAAAAAGTTTGAGAGTTTGATGGATGATATTTATGTTATAAAATGTTAAAATTTTAAATATAAAGTTAACGTTCATTTTTATTTATCATTGACATGTTTTTTACTTTTCAGTTTTTTTATAAAGACACAATCTTTATAACCATCATTGTCCTCATGGTTTCAATATCTTTGTTTCGAAGGTTGCACAGGTTAAACTTTTTTTATAATGTATTTTTCCAACAACCATGAGCATTTCATTCTCAATTAAAGCTTTATAGCGTTATCAGTAATGTCTTCTTTCCAAGCTCTCCTATTTCAACCTTTTTCTTTTTTTCCTGAAACTGCTAAATTTCTACATGTTGCAGGTCTTCTAGTAAAAGTTTTGCAGTCGTAAGCCCTATATGACCACAAATATAATTTTTTGTTTTGAAAACTTGGCAATGGCTCTTTGCAAGTTTTGATAGTTAGCTAAGTAAAATTAGTGAACTAAAATTAAAAACAAACCATAAACTGAAAAGAGAAATAAAAACTAAAAAAACAAAATAAAAAATTAAACTTTTTAATAGTTTGTCTTTAATTTGTTTTATCATTTGTCATTTTGTTTCTCTTTTCAGTTTACAATTTGTTTATTTTTAGTTCTCTCTTAATTTAAATTTGTTTTTTTTCAGCGCATTTTTAAAACACGGAAATTATCAAAACATGCAAAGTACATGACCAAGTAGTTAAAACAAAATATTATATCCATGGTCATATAAAATGTTTGATCGCATGCCTCTTCTGCGAAAGAGTTAATACCTAATCATCTGCATTTTTACACATGCCCAAACCATTATAATTTTCCTTGAAACCCTATCCTTATGATGTTTATTCCCAATCTTCGCTTTAGATTATTGCCTCGTATTATTTAGTGCCATATTACACATCTATCTGATATATTACACACTCATCTAATCATTGTATTTTCTGTTCTTTTTAGATAGTGGACATCATCAAACTTCATTGTCCATTTTCCTGTCATACATCATAATAATCTGGATACATCTGGGTGAATTTTCTTTTAATCTTTATAAAATTTTTTTTACTAACAATCTTACTATAAAAATATGTCTGATTGAGTTTAGCATATCAAAATTATCTATAGGTGTCAAAATTTATGCAATAAATTTTTTGTTGGCCTGTGTTATTATTTTTAAAAATTCTATTTTTTAAAGCTTTTTTTTTTAAGTAATTGTTATGTAAATTATACATATTTTTATGTAAAATATTTGTTTTTATAAAATACTATTAAGTAGGGATTCAATCGCAACAGTTTTTGGTTGGATCAAGGTTTAGGTGAAAATGATGCCGATGATAATTTATTATCTGCTGCAAAATCCTCTCATCTGGATATTTTCTTTATTAAAGATGTGGAAAAAGGAAGTTGGGCAGAAATGCTTGAACTGCAGCAAGGTCTTTATTTGGTTTGATTTATTATTATATCTTGTTTTTTTTCTTTCATTATTTTTTTGTATTATTGAGTCGTCTTTTTTTGTTATGCCTCATATCCCCCAAGGCCAGGCTATAATTGAAGTGATTGAGTGGAAATGATTTTAAAAATTTCATTTTATCGTCATTTATAACTTAATTACAGTTCTGGGCGTAATGGCTCTACACACTACATGGGAACCCTGTATGAGCCTTTTGTGTTTTAACTTACTTGAGCCTATTGCTAGAGAACAATCTTAATTTAAGTTCTTCTCATTTTTTGTTTGATGGCTTAAATCATAATTTAAGCAAAACTAAATATGGTTCTGTGAATCAAATTTTAATCTCTTTTTTTTTTTTAAGTCGCAACAAAACTCTAAGATAAACCCCATATTTTGAGCAACAATTTTAATGAGAGTTCTTGATTAAATAATTTGCAATGAGCTGTTATTTTTTGTTTTGTTTTATTTTTCTATTTATAATTTTTTTTCAAAAGTGTTACTTAAAATTATTGTTTAAATTAACTTATTTAAAACATATTTAGATTGACTTATTTACAACACATTAAAATTGACTTATTTATAACACAACTTATTTATGACACAACTTAATGTGATAGTAAACTAGTGGTAGAGCTAGTAAACTAGTAATATAACACTCAGTAGACTGGTGACTAGTGGTAGAGCATTCAGCTCACAATAAAAAAATCAAACTGGAAGTAGTGATCTCAACTTGTTTCTTCTTGCAGTGACTTTGTGTAACAAGTTTTTTTTTTTTTTTTTTTTCAAAATAAAAAGAAATTATGCAGCCAATTTGACTGCTTGTTTGTA